TTATCTTTAACTCCTATCTGTAGTGTAACAATTTGTTCTCTATTTTTATCAATTCCCATATGTCTAGATAAGTAATCTGCGATTTTGTTATCTTTCCCTTTAATTCGTTCAACCTTCCAATTAAAATCTTGTAATTGTATTAACCATTTTTGCATGGTATCATTTCTAACTATTTTCCCAGATGAATCAGATATTCCTGTTTTATCTGTTCGCACTATGACTGGTTTATTCCCAATATAGGTTCTCCATTGCAATAGATAATAATATATTGTATACATTTCTTTTATGGTTGATCTCCATTTTCTTTGTATTGGTGATAATGATCTTGATCCAAATTCTATTATTTCTTCTTCAGATTTCGTTGGTTCATATTCTGCTCCATTTGCTCTAGCTTCTTTAGTTTTATAATGAGCTAATTCTGGATTCACTTGTTTAATAACTGCGCCTATTCCATTATTTGATGCGTCAGTTTCTATTATAAGTTGGTAACCTTTCTTTGGATATAGCATTTTTAACTTTTTCTTTTAATAAATCGAATGCTTTTGGGCATTCATTTGTCCATTCGAATTTCGCATTTTTCTTGAGTAAATTATAAATCGGTTCTGCAATTTGTGCAAAGTTTTGAATATACCTTCTAAAGTAATTCATAAATCCAGTGAATGATCTCACTCCGTGTACATCTGTCGGTACTTTGAGTTTTTCAACCTCTTTAATTTTTACTTGATTAGCGTGTATTTTTCCAAATTCTACTAAATGATTTAATATGAGAGTTTTTAGTACATAGAATTCGCATTTATCGGGCATTAGGCTCATGCCCACGCTCAAATACCATTTTGAGATGATTAAAGTGTTATTTAACAGAATCACTAGCTATATTTATATCGTCCATATATACAAATACAAATGGGAAATCTCTAAAAATCTCATACATATATCTCATCATATATGCCAGTGCCGTTTTCAATCCCATAGGTAGTATATTCCATAAAAATTTTCCTTTTACTGGGAAAAATACAGTCGTCAAGTGTTTATCTACTTCTCTCAATTTAAATTGGTAGTACGCTGCAGTAAAATCTAGCGTAGAAAAAATTTTATGATGTGCCAGTTTTTGTAACATCGTATTTATATGCGGAATCTCATATGGATCATCTTCTAAGTATTGGTTTAGCTTGGTATAATCCACAGCTACTCTATACGATTCATCTTTCTTTTGAATAATTACTAATAGCGATGCCCATACTGCCTTACTAGGTCTAATAAATTCTTGTTTTCTTAGTTCTTCAAACAATTTATTAGCTTGTTCTATTTTATATTCTGAGTATTGTCTAGGCATTTTTGCTTTATCTTTAAATGGTATTTCTTTTTCATTACATTTTAGGTTTAATGTGATTGGTTCAAAGAAATTTTCATTAAATGTTGTTGCTTTCTCATTTTTGCATCTGAATATGTTTATATATTTTTTGAATACTAGTAACATTTTATTTCTATACTCCGGTGTTGTATTTTTTAATAATACTTCTAGTCTTTCTCTTTCAGTTTTCTCCTTTTCTTCAGGTTTCATCTCCCATCGTTTATCTTTTTCTTTATGTGTTACCTCTGCGTTATTTACTTCTATTATTTTGGTGATCTTTTCAAGATTGCCAATATGATATTTATCTGGTATTAGTACAGGTTTATCCGTGTAGTTAATCATTCTGATTTTGTCATCATTGATGATTCCATTTTGTATGACAATGCCATTTTGAGCTAAATACATTGGTGTTTGTATGAGGTAGTTTCCTTTTTTATATATTTCAATTGTGATCCATATATATAGTTTTAGCATATATTTCTGCATTGTATAATATGGTATTCCTGTTCCTAATGTAGGTATAATATGTTTCCTAATCTCATTTGGTATGTGTGCCAGTTCATGATGCACTGGGTTTATTTGTTTATTACTCTCAATTGTTCTCGGTTGGTATTGCGATAATTCAATATTAAATATTTCTTTCTCAATATACAAGCTTTCAGTACTATTATTTTTACTTGATTCGTTGCTTCCTTATCCGTAAGGGTTATTTCTAGGTTCTGGGGTGGTTTTTTGGATCTGTTAACTATTGGTCTCATTTTTGGTGAATCTCCTTCGATTCCTATTTTAGTTCCTTGATATTCATATTCATTTCCATCTTGTTTTTGCATTTGGGAACTTGAGCTTGAACTTTGTCGCGATCAGTAATATTCATCTCGTTGCCTATTCAGGTTTTCTACATCATTTCTCAGATTTAAAGTCGTTGGTCTTTGACTATTATTTCACATATTCATTGAAGTTTGTATGGTTCTATAAAAACTAGTATTTTTTTGATTTTCAGGTGTGTTTGTTACTGCTTGGTTTTTAGTAACATCCTGTCTTAAATCAGTTTGTTTTTGTTAAGTGTTTTGTTTCCTTCCTACAAATAAATTATCAGATTTACTGGTATATATTCAGATGCTTTGTTCTTTAAGTGGTCCCATCCTGATTGTTGTTTATCAATTTCTTTGGTTTGATTTATTTGCGTTTGTTGATATACTGGCTGTTTTGGTTCGGTATTTTCTGCAATTAGTCCAGGTATTTGTTGTCTAGGTGAATAGTATTCATAATTTCCTGTTACTGTTTCTTGGACTGGTATTTCAGTGTCTATTTCTGCTTGTTTATCATTTAAATGTATACTGGGTATACTACTTGTTGATGCCATTGCAGATAATCATTGTCATTTATGTGTGTAAATATGTAATTGCTGGTTTTCTTTCATTTTAGCATTTTGTTCATTATACTATTGTCGAAATAATCATCTTCCAGATCACTCGTTTTGCTATGTTTACTATCCGAATCAGTTCTAAATTCAGTTTTCTTTACATTAATTTTTTGGTGTATCCCTGGTATTAGGCTCGGTTATAATGTTTCTACTGTTATTTCTGGTTCACCAGTTTTTGGATTTGTAATAGTATGTTTTTTAATAATTTCCGGGTTTTCCTGTTTCATCCATTCTGTTAAAAATTCCATATGCTTTTTAGTAGCATTTTCTCTATTCTTTTTGTCAATATTTGCTTCCGATATACTGAGCAAATTTTGTATAATAACTTGTTTTTTAGCATTGTCTTTTGCTTTGAATTCGTTTAGTTTCATATCTAATATTATGTCAGTTTCACCTCGATATTATTTTCTCTTTCAATTATCTCATCATATAAATACTGTTGTGTAGAATATTTTTGTTTATTCCAATATTCCCTAAAATTGTAAACCTTTTCTTTATCAGTCATATCTGGAGTTCCTTCTCAAATTGATTGTGGTAATGATTCAATCCCCTTAATAATATCAGTATAATGTTTAGCTTTTTGTTTAAATATTCGTGCAACTTGATTATGTTGCATCTCTAAATGCATTAAATCTCCCATTAGTTGAGATAAATCTTCTTTAAATTGTTCATTTTGGGCTTGTTTATCTATTTGTTGTTTCAAGTCAGAATTCTTCCTTTTCAATGATCTCATCATTAATCCAAATCTTGGTGATATTGGTGTTGTTGGTATTGAAGGTTTCTTGATTGGTTTATCTGAGTATTTATCCATTACATTTATTATTTTGTTTATCATTCTCGACACTTTTATTGCTCTTATTCCTTTTTGTGTTTTGGCTTCTTTTTTATAATAAGAATTTTCTTGGTTTTGCAGGGTCATATCTGCCATTTGTTTGGTAATATATTCTACTGTTTGTTCTGGGGTATAATGCGTATTATTTTGCGCATATATTTCATTTTGAAAAAATAGGTATTTCATTTCTAACGTTGGATCCCATTTTTGCGAATCCTCTAATCTTTTCTTTAAAGATTTATTTAATTCTCTATCAGATTGCAATATATCATTTGCAAAGTATCTGAGTATCTGTATTTCATTAACTTGTTCTTTCATGTCCCACTCAGTTTTTCTTGGAGTTTTCACTACTGCAGTTTTAGCATATTTAATTATCTTTTCAAATATTTTTAAGTCTAATTGGCCATGCATTATGTGTACGTACACATCTTGTCTACTTCCAAATATTGTTAGTTTTAGAATGCGTCCATCTGGTAATCGTCTTTCTTTAGATATATTATTTAGGTAGAACAATTTTATTTCATTTTCATGTTTCTGAAGTACTTCTTCATAATGTTCAACTGTTTTGCCTACCCCTGCGGCAAAATAGTGCTGTGTATCAAAGTAGAATTTTATTTTGTCTTTTGTAACTCCGTTTGTATCGATACTTTTTATCTATTATATTTCTAATTTCTTTTAATTCTTGCATTGTTGTTCCATAACATCTTACTGATGCTGAGTTTTCTAATAATATTGTTACATTAGTTTGTTGTGTCCTTTTAAGTATTTCCTCAAGATTAAGTTTAATTTCTTTCTTAAAATCTTTAGTTTTATCTCGCGCGGTTTCTATATGTAATACATATCTTTTAGCTCCTATATTATAAGCTCTTTGTATTTTCTAATCGTTTGCCATCGTATATTTCCTTGACTATTTAATAGTGTATCACTTAGTGTTAATCCCATTGATGCATGTATAATAATTTCTAACTTTGACAGTGAGTTCCTATTAATTATGTTTGTATCATTAATCACATCTATTTCTCCTCTTTGTAATGTTAAATAATTTTCAACATGTTCTATATAATTATTTAAGTTTGGTACTGGAATGTATTGTAGGAATGTTTGTACAATGTTACAGTTGGTTTGGACTACTGCTTCGACTATCTTATGCCAATAGCCATCGCATGTGAGTCCTATTTCCTTTTGTCTATGTTTGTTTAATTCACATTGTTTCAGGAATATTTGTATAGCAGTTTCTGATATATATTTTCATGTAAATATACCATTTTGTGGAATGTTTTCCTTTTGACCTTTTTCTTGGTTTAAGTATTGTCAATTTTTCATGTATCTTGTCATGACATTATGGTTTATATTGTCGTAAGCACTTTGATAGGTGCCTTTATGATATCGTAAACTATTTTCTTCCAAATTTTGAGTATCATCATTATTAAATTTTCCTAACTCAAAATCATTTACATTGCTGTGATTATCAGAAGGCATCGGTCCAATAATGTGTTTAAGTTGATTACTTTTGTTGGCTAATGATCCCATTTCTGAATAATAAGTGGATTTCATCATGTTGGGCGCCTTGTAAGCTTGTTCTTGGTCCGAATAAACACGATTTTTCGAGTTATTAAAACCTAAGTGGCGGTGCCTACAGAGTACATCATCCCCAATACCGAAGTACCTTTCAGATGCATTGTCCATACCGTTGCGTCGGCTAAGGTTTCGTTGGTTGATAATAGGTTGGCCATTGATTTCAATAACTTGATTGAAGACGTTTTTGGTTATTCCAAGTTCAGATTGTGTTTTGTTACTTAGTAGTATATATTTAGAATAGGTATTAAGGATGTCTATTTTTATGTTTGTTGTTAAGAATTTATTAATTTTAATATCCACAAGCATTTTGCCAAGTATTTTCACATTATTGCCTACTGCTTTTGCAGTTGCGGGTTTGGGTATTAGATTATTGATTCCTAATTTGTGAGCATGATTTATTTCCATTATAGTATTTGTAGATCCTTCATCTAATTTAAGTTCCATTGGTATATTGTTTATTAAAGCAATTAGGTAGAAGCCTTTTGCTCCTTTAGGTTTGCATGGATTTATTATAGTTTTATTAGGAAAGTATAGTTTATTATAAGCGGCAGTATTTATTTCAGGGTTAATAATATCTTTATTTAAAATGTATATTTCTTTGTTACATTTGTTATGAAATAAATCTCCTATACAGCCAGTGTATTTATATGGAGGTTTTTCAAGAGTATAGGGCTTGCCTTCTAATAAAAATGTAGTTCAGTATTTTTATTATAAACTTCTTCAGTAATTTGTTCAAGAGTAGATATTTCTCTGTTGTTATATTTATTATAATCATTTACACTATTGTTATAAGTATTTACAGCATTTTTGTATTGTTGATATTCCTGGAATTTAGCATAAGAAGAGTCATTGTTTCTTTGGTTATAGAAATTGTTCATTTCTCGTTTTTTCTGGAAATTATTAGTTTCCATTTCGGATACGTTTTTATAGCAATCTTTGGTATGAATTACAATTAGAGCAAGTTGGTTTTCTTTTATTGTTTTCTTCGTGTACAATTCTCTTTTTATCATCTCATCTTCCTGGGTTAAAGAATGGTTTAGGTGCTTGGTAAGGTGCTCGTTTTTGTTTCATAAAATTTCTAGATTGCCTTTAACTTCTTCTATTTTTGAATTTGTCAAAAGAGATATTTGATTTTTGAAAAAATTTGTTCACAATTTGTTCTTGTTGAAATTGTTTAAATGGTTTGGATTTGAACTCAGTTTTTGGTGGTATATCCCTTCTTCGTCTTCCTGGTTTTCTTTGGCTGAATATCTTTTGCCATTTGCCTTTCTTTCCATTGTTATTATTTTTCCTATAACTTCTATGTCTTTTACTATAAAATTGTCTTATCGAATTGTATTTCTTTGGTTGGGTACATTCCCTAAAGAAATGTCCAGATTTTTCACAGTTGAAACATTTAGATTGGTTTAGATCAACAATTTGATAATTGTTTTGCCGTGATTGATTTTTTTTTCTAGCTCTTCTTCGCGTATACTACCAAGTCGATGACCTTTAATATTTTGAAATATATATACATTAGCCATATTAACTTGCTTCGCTAAATAAAAGATAATACAATTATTAATAAAACTAATTTTGTTAATAATTTCTATTATTATCTAACGATGTTTAATGTTAGATATCCTAATCTATTAAAAAAATATATTAGATATTATTGAATTAGGTTATATAATAATTATTTTTATAGTCCTTTTATTAGCCAAAGACTTGCTTATGCTAATATTTCTCATTCATCTATAATAATAGATATTATTTTTTATTGTTTCATAATAATAGATATCATTTTTTATTATTCTAAAATATTAAATATCATTCTAAATATTTGATAAAAAATCAAACCATGAACACGCCATTTCTAAAATCATATTATCGCCGAAAATCTACATATCTAACTTCTGAGCAGATAGAAACAATTAGATCGCTCAAAGATAAGATACCTAAGTATAGAATTATGAGAGATTTCCATATTAATGAACATCGAGTAGATGATATATGGAAAGATCGAGAGCGGCAACAACAAATAATACAAAGTACCATTTCCACTGAAATATTATCTATATCTACAGCAATTTCATCTGAAAATTTTAATCAAATCAAAAGAAAGACTTTATATTCAGAATCTACCACTCCTTTTAATGCAGAAATAAAAAAGAGAAGTTCCAAATCTCGGTCTAAATCTGTTCGCATATCCGATCGAATACCTACTAATAACTCTGATGTAGTAATATCCACACTTAATGAAATAGAAAAAATAAATAGTGAGGATCTGGATGCATTATATGAAAAAGAAGTCAAAAGAGATGAGAAAAATAAAGCGAATATGAATCGTCTATTAGCTACTTAATTTATTATTGCTATCATCTCTAGAGGAAATGTGTTCAAGTAGCTTTTCATAACGTATTTGCAACTTTTCACAAAGATCATTTATTTCAGCTTTAGACTCGATAGTACTATATAGTGTTTTTTCTAACTCTTCATAGCTCATGCGTTTTTTTTAAAGTCGAATCTAGGCTAAAACCCGCAGGAGCATGCCATTCCTCCAATGGATCATTATCGCTCTCATTA